AGCCAGCCATGTTTGCAGGCGTCGGTGACGACATCTGCGTTGTCCCTTTAGTGTCCCTAGTCAGTCCCAAGAGGCAAGGCGGTGCCACTCGTTGATCTCTTGTATGCACTTCCAGGCATGGATCAGAAGGCGCCCAGGCGTCCTTCGTCCCAACGCTCCTTTATCCCACTTTTCCCACCCAAGTTTTCGGCAGTTGGAATATCTGGCACAGCTTGCTCCTTCGAATTCAACATCACTTTTGGAAGGAGATGGCAGAGGAAGAACGAGGTACTGAGCCTGGGTAACGGACATGCCTGGCGTGGCGAACGCGGGTAGAGAACAACGAAAGAGAGAGTGTTCAACATCTCAATCAGAGTCACGTGGTTTATGAACGAGCTGCCGTCGCCACCGTAGGAGTTGTGTCAAGGTATCCTGGTCACCAGATAAAAACGACGAACATTAAAAAAATATTTTTGAAATTATGGGAGTTTTAAATATTCTAAAATGTTTCGTGTATGTCCAATTAGCTATGGTGCTTTCATGTAACAAATACTCTATCTTGCCTAATTTCTGTGCCGGTGCCCCTTTCAAGTAATTTCATTTGGGTTTGCAGCTTTTTTAAATTGCACTGGCACCTGAAGTGCACTTGTAGCTCATAGTTTGCAGATATCGGGATGTTTAGTTTGTCATCGCATTCTATTCAGAACCTAACCACATTCCACATTTTTTTTTCAGGTTCTGTAGTTGTTCAGATGGACGTGATTGCCCTGGAAGTTGTGATGATTGCATTTCACATAAAAGCTAGAGGTGACCCACTAATTAATTCTCAAGAATAAAGGTATGCACGTGTTTTACTCCCTGCTGCATCTTGTGTGCACTTCCATGAAATTTCTTACTAACACGGTGTTCAAGCTCCTGTTTTATCTCTGGGAGGTGCACTTGGCAGTAACATCTGAAATTAACTTGTGACAGCAGGCTTGAAAAAACTCATTGAATGCGGCGACTCTATCTTCGAAAGCATTTTTCAAACTTCCCCTGTTAAAATGGCTTCGTATCATAAGTCACAAGGTGGTTTCACGGTTTAGTGTTCGCCAGAGTTAAGATGAGGCTCCTGCAATGCGCTTACATGTAACTCATAGTTTGCGGAAATTTCGTGGTTTATTCTGTCACCGCATTCTGTTCATAACCTAACCACATTCCACATCCTTTTTTTTTCGGGTTCTGTAATTCTTCATATAGACTTGATTGCTCAGGAAATTAGATATTGCATTCCACATGAAAGGTGGACGTGTCCCACTAATATTTTTTTGTTAAATAAAGGTATGAACATGCTTTACTTAATACTGTATCTTGTGTGCACTTCCTTGAAATTTCTTACACAGTGTTCAAGCAGTGTTAAACTCTGGGATGTGCAGCTGGCATTAACTCCTGAATGTAACTTGGGCCCACGGCCTAGCCACATTCCCTGGGCACTAGATATTTAATTTGAGTTGTTCCCGCATCAAAAATTATTTTACGTGGTGTCTGTAACTTGCAGCGGCAGAAAGCTGTAACTCTCAATTATTGAGCTGCACGTCATGCGTGTCGACGGGAATCGTTCCGACACTAAAAATTAGCTGGCGTGTTGCCCGCACCTTGCAGTAATGACCAGAGCCTGTTGAACTGCTAGCTGCAGTGATTTACCAAACAGACATCTCAGTAAGTAATAAATATTGCAGTAAAATGCTATATTTATTGTTTACTGAGGCGTCCGTTTTGTTAAGTCACTGCAGCTAGTAGTTCAAAAGGCTCTGGCCGTAGCTGCAAGGTGTGGACAACTCGTCAGCTGATCTTGTATGTAGGAACGATTCCTGTTGTCGCGCATCACGTATAGCTCAGTGATTGGGATCTACGGTTTTTTACCGTTTCAAGTTACGGACAAGACGGCAGCTGATTTTCGATTCCGGAACGATTTCCGTCGTTGCACATCACGTGCAGTTCAGTCATTAAGAGTTACGGCTTTCTGCCGTCGTAAGTTACAGACAACACGCCAGCCAATTTTTGATGCCGGAACAATTACCGTGTATGTGGATCACGAGCATGACAGTTACGGTTTTCTGCCATGCTTCTACGGGTCAAGTTACGGACAAAAACTGTAGGGCCTTATCATTGTCATGCACGTAATACCTAGTTAATGTTCTGATCGTGATGCCAGACAACGGAACTTGTACCGGCATCAAAAATTAACTGGCAATTTCTAGTAATTTGCCGGGTTTTTTTACTGTCTAGTCTTTGTCAGGTTAAGAGTAGGGTGGAATCTCCTCCAGGCCCCGTTCTACTTTAGCAGAGCGAGTGGTGGAAGGAGGCCGCGGCCTCTTCACCAATCCCTCTGCTAAAGTGCAAATAGGAGAGTGGAGCTTTTCCTGTACTCTTCACATGTGGCCTCCTACAGCGATTCCTTGGTAGATACAGCCAATCCATCTGCTTCATCATTCCCTGGAATCGCATCGCAACATGTTTTGGTATTTAATAAAGTTTAATGCCTTATACACGTTGAAGAGCTTAATTTATATTACCTCATACACGTTGAGCAATAAGATTGTTCGTAGGAATTCGTGGAGAAACAGAGAGTAGAAAACGTTGTGAATCGACAAGCAGGATAGCGTTCCTCAGATAGTTTTCCATATTGGGTTCAACAGCTAGTCAAATGCCATAAAGTTTCGCAGTAAAAAGGCTTGCTGCACTGTGAAGCTTTAGAGCTTTCGTGATTAGAGCAGAATATAACGCACAGCCAACAAATTACTTGGTGGATACCAAAAAAAAATGAATTGTAGAAAAATGTCAAAGGGCTATGTATTAAGCACAGCTCAGTTTCAGACGTTGCCTATGCTACTCTGTTCCGTTTTTCTTCTAATGTGTATTCTTCGCATTTTCTAACCCTCCTCAAGTGATTTAGTCAAACTTAAACCTTACACTAGTGATGGCCATACTTAATTTTTACTAGCCAAAAGGAAGTCACTGATGCGTCACATTATTAAAGTTCGCCTCCACCCCAACTCCCTCCAACAGATATGTGCCAAAGACGGCATCAGAGATCGTCTCTAGATTCAAGAAAACGGGTTATTTTTATTCCTCCTTTGAATTTTTAGTAGTAAACGGCGATTGCATCCTATTCCTGCACATATATCTTCAAAACGGCTCAGTTCAAATTGATTTCATCTGACTTTTTGCGAGACTTTCCGTTTCCTTCACCAATTGCGGAAGATCCTTGGGCTGGAGAATTCTCCTGGTCTCCTGATCCACGTCGCCCCAATGTTAGTCAAATTTTATTCGAGGGAGTGCTGAAACGCTGAGCGAACAGCAAATGTAACGACCGCAAACAGAAAGTCTTGTCACTTCTTGTGGAATTCGCCTATGAAAATCAGATATCCGTCATTGCATGACCTAACTTATATTTTTGTTACGGTATTTATATTGCAGCGCAGTATTAGGGCCATATGCCTTCAGAAGGCTCATGCAAAATAAGGATGAACATTTGAAGTCTTGGCTAACAATGTTTGAATGCAGAAAAACGCTGCCAACTAGATAATGGCATGCAGTAAGGCCCATTTCAGGCACACGTTAGTGAATCTGAAACCATTGAATATGCTCGAAAACTTCACTCTCAAAAGTGAAGTTTTGAGAGCCTAATATCTCCAGAATAGTTTTTTTAAGCTGCGTGCCTCACAATATGTTTTTTTTTTAGTTCGTGCGTTGGCGCATTACAAGGTGGCCATCCTAAGCAGTGGCAAGAAATGCCACCAACTGTCAAACCCACACAAGAGTGAGCAGCAGGTGTGGTGCAAAGCCATATAAAAAGAAGGCGTTTGTTAAGGCCCCCGGCCGCGCATTGAACGGCAGCTTTAGCTCTGAATATCTCTAGACCGTCAAACCACTTACTGAATGCAATGTGCATTCAATTAATTGAAAATATGTCGAGTTATTTTTATATATCGCAATATTGCTTTCAACAATGGCTGCACCTCCTGTTTCACTTGGCTGAATTTCGCTAAACAATGTGCTAGTAGTGTTCACATATCATAAAGTCAGGCTTTTTGGGAGATCGATACGGCCAAGCGTGTTAGTTCACCTGAAGTCTGAGCATATCGAACAAAAGTTTGGGCTGCAGAACCTACATACACTGGGTTTAATCTCCACGGATGCCTGATTAGATCTGGATGAGAAGCATGCTGGAGTGGTTTTGTATGTCACTACTGTGAGGCACGGGAACAACTTAAAATCTACAACACAAGGCATTGTCGCAAAACCTCACGGTACACCGACCTAATCATGTCCAAGCATTAGTGTTTGTTTGCTTTGCCTTCGAGCTCCGCCTTTCCTAGGTTTAGGTGTTCCTCCTGTGGTAGAATGTAAGTTTGTAAGTACGTTCAAAATGCTAAACAGGTCTCTTCATTGGCCATTCTTGATAGCATTCTTTGTCTATGTAGCAACTGAATTGAACTGTTGCGTTTGGTAACAGTTTCCCGGGAATTATACAAGTCCCTATTTCTACTATTACTATTTTAAGGTCGCTTCGTAAGGAGCCTTCTGAGCACCGTTATGTGTCAGACAAATAATAAAGCAATCTAAATACAGTATTCGCCTTAATATTTTGTGGTTTGATGGCTTATTTTATTATTTTATGGTATTATTTATGTACCAGATAGAAACAAAATTCCCGACGTTTTGAGGCCATTACGGTCTTTTTTCAGGGAGACTGTGAACTGGACGGTGACTGTACAACTTCCAGACCGTCGGTTCATGCAGAAATGAGGCCGATATGGGCATACAAATCACACAAATTATTTTGTATAATTACTGGAACATATAGATGAAGCTAATGGTCTAAATAAAAACAAATCTTCATTGTCCTTTCAGCAATCTGCAAGATTTTCTAAGTTGACCATCCTAAAGAGGAAGACTATATTATTTTTCTTTATTTTTTTTCTAGAATATTAGGTCAAACGTTGATGAACAACGTGCTTGCCTTTCGGTCATTAATACTAGATATTTCTGGATAATAATCTTGACTTCAGCTGCTGCCTCAGAATTTTTCCGCTCTCTGATTTTGGTAAAGAATTCATAAAGACGACGCCGCCGTAGAGATGCTTGTGGGTCGATGTTTGACCTGCGAACAACACAGTAATACCACAAGAACAAGTATAGTGAAAGAGCGTTCGGCTAAAATATGTTTGGCTACAAAACTGGGGCATAGTGTTAATCAACAACTTTTACTTTTTTCTATATTGTTTGCCTCAGAGTATTTACTTTTATGTCTCAAGATATATAAACACAAAATTAGTTCGGCCGCTTTTCTTGGGAGCACCTTAAAGAAGCACCTCCGGAAAAACTTTTTTTATTCGGGGAGGAGGGAGGGGGGGAGGAAGGTCAGCGGGAGAATCGGACAATCTTACGTGTTTGTTTGTTAAATATGACATGATATTCGGGCTTTCACATTCACCAGTTCTAAGAAAAAATTCACTAATGAAATAATTAACTTTATTACCACTGTTTCATATCAATATATATATATATATAGGGTGTTTTTTTGAGCTTAACATAATTTTTAAAAAGAAACCATGAGAGCTAGATTCATGTGGTCTGCGCAGGTGAGTTATACGGCCAGGGGGCCATAATAGAGGAGGATAATCGTAACCATGAGTGGGCTTATTAATTAAAATTCGTTAATTAACTTTTTAATTTATGAAAATACACATGTAGTTTCAATTAGAAACTTGCTCTGCTTCATTGAAAAACGCTAATCAGTAGTTTTCAGAAAGACTTTGAACGCGTGAGAAGCGTAGTTGTGCACTAAAGTTACCGATCGTGGAGCAGGTACAAGGCTGGGGCTAGATAAGAGACGGAAAAATCGCGCGGGTGCCTTATCGCAACCGCTAGCTTTGTACGTGCTCCACGAGTGGTAAATTTAGTGCACTACTACGCTTCTCACGCGCTCAAAGTCTTTATGAAAATGACGGACTTAGGGGTTTTCGATGACGCCCAGCAAGTTTCTAATTGAAACTATATGCCTATTTTCAATAGTTGAAAAGTTAATAAACAAATTTTAACTAATTAGCCGACTGAACGTTACGATTTTTCTCCTCCATTATGTCCCCCTCGCCGTATAACTCACCTGCGCAGACCGCATTAATCTAGCTTTCATGGTTTCTTTTTAAAAATTTTGTTAAGCTTGAAAATAGAAACACCCTGTATATATATATATATATATATATATATATATTTATTTATCTGGTGTGACCCTCGTCATCTTGTCCGGTCTAGTTGCTTCTCCCCCCCCCCCCTTTTTTTTTGTATTGTCCCCATGCTTGGTCATGCTTTCTCGTGACCTCCAAATGTTGTCCCCTCCCCTCCCCCTCTCTCTGTTTTAAGGATTTGGATAAAACGCGTCAGACATGAACTGTGTCGCCATTCCTGACGAAGGCAAGACTCTTGCCGAAACGTTGAAATAAACCTTCCGTGTTTTTGTTTCTCTGACTTGGGATTTTCAACTTTGTATATATATATATATATATATATATATATATATATATATATATATATATATATATATATATATATATATATATATATATATATATAACCAAAGTGGAGGAGCTCCAGGAAAGGCCTTGGTTTACTGCACCAACGCTTCAAGCGGGGACCGCTTTTCTTCAGGGTGGAATGGTTGTGAAATGTCCTCTTCTTCTTGTTAATGTTCGTGAGGAAGAGGAAGAGTTGCTATAAAGGGTATTAAAAATATTCGGAACAGGAGCAAAAAAATTATGGTAAATCTTTGAAATTAGTAATTATAAACAATGTTAATCAAAATCAATAAAACGAAATAAATTGATTTGTAGTATTTGCCGCAGTCTTTGTTACAGCTCTTAAGCACAATCAACCCCTTTTTGCTATATTTACATAGTTTTTCCATTCTCGTTCTAGCACCCGTGTTATTTTGGAGCGGCCAAGTTGACATTTTTTTTTAATTGCAGTCCACCTTGAGTTCTTTAAAAATTAAACAATGTTAAGCAATTTGTGTTATGGTAATAGGATCCATATATGTGAGCGTTCATATTCAATTAGCTTAAAGTAACGATTCCTCCCGGATACAAATGCGTATTATTATAAATAAACAATTATAGGGTGAATCGGCTACATAAAGAAAATCGGCAGCATACCTGCTACAAGCACTTTCAGTTCTTGTTCCAGACTGTCTAGGCTTCTTTCCTGGGTTTTCTTGACAACAACACAAGCGACCGGAGCCTCTCCGTACTTCGAACTGGGTATGCCGACCACAGCGGCTTCCAGAACCGCCTCGTGCGAGGTCAAGATTTCTTCCAACTCGGCAGGAGTTACAATGTTCCCCATACATTTTATCATCTGCTTGATCCGATCCACGATGTAGATCTGTCCATTACTGTCATAGTACCCAAGATCCCCTGCGAGGAAGTCCATAGGTTGCGACAATTATCTGAAGTGCATTGACTGCTGAGGTTCAAGGCAGACACATAACAAATGTAACAACCAGTTTCAATTTTGTCCGACATTGGGCTTTTTTTTTGGTTGCATTGTGAGAGGCGTTTTTTCTTTATAATTTATTTACTCGCACTATTTGATTTTTTTTTAATTACAAATGACAGTATATGATTTCAACAGATATTTTTTGAAATATTGAGCACCAACTTTTTCTACTGCGTAGTACTTTATACCCTGTATCCATCCTGCCTTGATGTTTTTTACTCCTTCATGCCATGATTCAAAACTATAGACCGGCAGTTTTCTTCTGAAAAATTTCTCTTGCTTTATTTCACATTTATTCTGCAAATTAAATATATATATATATATATATATATATATAGTCTATCGTTTTCGATATTAAACCATTTTTTGTCTTCTATTGTTTGATCACTACAAAAATAATATTGTTGGAAAGATGGCAATATTTCCTTTGATGCATTTAATTCAACGTGATGTCATTGACCGTCTCTTCACAGTTTACATTGGCAATTAATACTCGGACATTATACAGTTGAATTGAAATGTTCCTGAAATCGTTCGCATGCACATTGAATAAAAGCGACGAGCTTAAGGGGAGCAAAAGTAAAATAATCAAGTAACGTAAAGCATGATTTTATTTCATTATCAATAATTTCCTGAAATGCTTGGCTTGACGTTTAAAGGTTCAACGCACTCTGTTTCCTCGCATTTCTGAGGTAGCTTCTAATTTCATTATCATCATTTATTAAACCTTGAAGGCCCTTACCCAGGTAGCACACCATGTCGGCCGATACTGGGATTACGTCGGCCAGTACCGGGAGCTGTACGGCGGATCCCGGCCAGGGACGCCGGTGAGAAACCGACGCCGGCCGATATCGGGGACTCGTTGTCTAAACTGGCCAGCACCAGCCGGAAAGTTCCCGATACCGGCCGAAATCGTTTTCTTGCTGTAGTCACCGGCCAGTCTAGCCATGGAGTTTCCGGTGACTGGCCGACATCGTTTTCTTGCTGTAGTCACCGGCCAGTCTAGCCTTGGAGTTTCCGGTGACTGGCCGATATCGTTTTCTTGCTGTAGTCACCGGCCAGTCTAGCCATGGAGTTTCCGGTGACTGGCCGACATCGTTTTCTTGCTGTAGTCAGCGGCCAGTCCAGCCGTGGAGTGTCCGCTGACTGGCCGACATCGTTTTCTTTCTGTTATCACCGGCCAGTTCAGCCACTGAGTTTTCCGTGACTGGCCGACATCGTTTTTTCGCTGCTTTCACAGGCCATTCGAGCCATGCAAGTTTTGATATGTAACCGACATGGCTTTTTCGCTGATATGGAAACTATATGATGGTTACAAATGACCGTTAGGTTGGGTATGTCTTCAATATGCTAAAAGGTGACACCTAATATTATCCTTGGCCTAGTATTAACGCCGCGTCATCCTTAAACCACTTAACAAAGGCTTATTTCAGTTTTGTTAAAAAAGACGGGATCAAACATGGCTGTGGAATGAAAATTTAATTTGGTTTACATCTATTAATTTTTTAGAGAGCAGCTCTTAGGCGCCCGTTTCCGGCTTGAGCGGCATCGCCGTCGCAGTCGCCGTCGGCGTAACCGCGCGTTGCATTATGGGAAACGTCCCATAATGACGGCGTGTGTGACGTCACGAGGGTCCCGCGCGTTGCATTATGGGAAGCGTCCCATGATGCAACGCGCGGTCGGCGACGGCGACGCCAACATCGCCGTTGGCGTAACCGCGCGTTGGGTTATGGGAAACGTCCCACAATGCAACGCGCCGTCTCATTTGTGACCCGCGCATTCCATTATGGGAAGCGTCTCATGATGCAACGCGCGGGCCGGCGACGCCAACGTCGCCGTCGGCGTAACTACGCGTTGAGTCATGGGAAACGTCCTATAATGCAATGTGCAGTCGCATTCGTGACCCGCGCATTGCATTATGGGACGTTTCCTATAATGACGTCACAATTGACGTCACGTGTGACGTCACAAGGGTCCCGCACGTTGCATTATGAAAAAAGTCCAATGATGCAACGCGCGGGTCACTCGTGACCTGCGCGTTGCATCGTGGCGGCGAAACTTGCTTTCGATGAGTTGGGCATTTTTACTGCGGCACTGCGCTTCCACATGTTCCACGTGTAAGTCTCAGGGCTTACACCGGGTTTTAAAGAGCTTCTTCGACGAATGACTACGAACGAGTAGAAAACGTGTCTTCAGCATGTTGCCGCCAGCCTCCGCAACGCTCCAAAAACGCGATTTTTCAACATGCAAAATCGCCGATCGGTGGCTTCACTCTCGCGCTTCAGCTGCAGCGACCAAGCGGGGATGCGCGATCCAGCCCTTTGCCCAGGCAGATGCCGAGCGCTCCGCGCAAGCGGTCGTTGAGCGGTCGGCCTCAGTAAGCGATCCACCCAGTTGCACGCGCTGCCACCGCTTTCATAGCGTCTGCCCTCGCTTTTTAACAGTTTCGGTTCCCATTGCTATCTTGCTGAAAGCATGAAGTTCTGATCGGAACTTCATGCTTTGACAAAAATGTTGATTGTTACTACTTTATTAACGGTGACCCCGACGTTGAGGCAGTATTTATTTTTCCTTACAGTTATATAAACCCGATGAAGACAACTACAAGTGCTTTTGTACGAGCCGCAGGATGCAATAGGCCCTTTGCAAAAATCCCAAAAGCCCGCGCGCGCCGCGCTTCAAATAATGGGAGTCCTCGGTACGCCCCTCCTCCGGCTTCCACGTGGCATACGCGAGCAGGCACAGGTTACCACGGCAACAAAGCAGCCGAGTTGGGCCGTTGGTTGGGCGAGCGACGATCCGACGGCTGCCCCTTTCGTATCCCTCTCCTTTGTACCGGTTCTGTCGTCTGCTGCACCAACGCTTTGTCAAACCTGGTCGAAACCTGCCACGGTTGCGGTGCAAACTAGATGGATTTGGTGACACTTCAATACGTGAAGGTAAGTTCCGACGAATAACGTATTGGAATGAGTTCACCTGTCGCGATGCCTTTACGCTGCCACAGATACGGTACGCCGGCAACGACGTACGACTCGGCGGGATGGCTGCAACGGCTGCTGGCGGTAGCTGCCGGGACGCGCGCGCAGTCGCGGAGGCGCAACGAGAAAGCGCGTGCGCGTGATCTGTACCGAGGGTTCCCAAAATTTCCTGCCGTCGTGGCGCTGTACGTTTTGCAAAGGGTCTATTAAGCAATACCAAACACGTATGCCGTAAAGCGACCGTCATCTCGAAAGGCGAGTTCCATCTGAGGGGAATTTGTCGTATTGTCTTCTAGCCAACGACATACCTAGCTCTTCATCCGAATAGGTGCGCACAACGTCTTCGACGTAACGCCATATCTTGGGCCTCTTCGCTGGCAAGGCGAATGAGTCGGCGACTTCGCCGAGAACGGCTGCCTCGTCGTCACTCGAGCTGGAGCTAAGCTGGTATCTTCGTCGCTGTCGCTGATTTCGCTGCTACTGCGTTTTCTTAGACCTCCTGAAATTAACTGCAGCGATGTCAGCGCCGCAGTATGCTCGAGCCAGTCGGTTATGACAAGAGGAACGAAAGCAAGCACAGCAAGAGAGCCCACCCAGCAATCGAAACAAAAAAAACAGCGAAACTCCTTCATTCCCCCGCGGCAACGTTGATAACGAAACTGAAATGTTGCGAGTGGCTACAGATCGTACTCCCCCGAAAAAGGCTGCGCGGAGAACTACTCCGGGTCCGAGCGGTCTCTCCGAGGAAGACACAGTTCACAGTTCAGGCGGAACATTCGTTTCTTACATCTTTCTGCATGATCACAATCAAAACATCACGTGCACCCTATATTCAACCAGAAAGGGTCACTACATTTAACTCTTACGCGCTTATTAAAACCAGATCTGCTTCTCGCTACCACTGCTAGGGGATTCTATGGACTACTTCCATAAACCCCTGCGTGCAACACGGCGCGCATTGCTCTTTGGGAACTAGTTGGCCAGGGAGGAGAGTGGCATGGTTTCGGTTTCGATCGGCAGCGTGGACTATTAACGGCCGTTATCTCACGTTTTTTGGTCTCGAGAGCATCATTTTTGTCTCTAAACTAACCTAAATGGCCAGACCACGAATCTATAGCACAAGCCCGAGACGTATAGCTTGTCTTCACACAAGCTTGTTGTATTTTTGTACACTATCGAGCCTTTCTGTTTGCGTTTCGAGATATATGTGAACGAGCCAGTGCTGGGAATCTCGATGCTGCGTAGCTCGGGTATCTTGCTTGTGTACGATTCAACAAGCTGTAACGACCAATAAGTTTGCATACATCGAGCTCGCACCTTTACAGCTGGTCAGGAAGTTGTTTTTTTTTTTTGTTTTGTGCGTCCATAGACGAAATATTATTTTTTGCAACTACTGTTTTTCTTAATACGCCTGAGTACGTGAGGTAAAACTTGGAGGCGCCATTGAAAAGCTCAATTTGAACACACATCTTATCTCTTATCTGTACTGGCCCGCAGCACTGCACGAAGCTAAGTCCCCACCCGCTTGCATTCCACTAATATTCAACATCGCATACGCACATAAAATCTTTCTGCAATCATATAGGCACATTCCCACACACAAACCGTTTTAAGAAAGCAAAAGTCGAGCAATTGTGTGAGGAATGTCGCACCGTTCGCCGGAAGTGCGTCGGACGGGCGTGAACCTCTATGCGGTGTGCCAAAGGAACGAAATTATTCAAAGCGCATTTGACGGTTGCTAATGGGCGTAATATTTATATGTTTGCTTTCTTCCTGGCTGAGTAGGCGGAGATATTTTCAAACACACCGTTCAGACACAGATCTTGGGCGTCATTAAAAGCTCATCCAAAAGGCTTAGCGAAGAGTAGGAGACGCTTGTTAGAGCCTCTGTCGTAGCTAGCCGACCTCAGCGTTTGCGAAAACCTAATTTCCTATCAGCG